TTTTCCGCAAGGTCCTACGTACATAAAGCTAACCTGGGCCTGGGCCTAGCTTTGGCCTCACTATCACTTTGTGATCACTTTTTTTTGCAGTTGAAGACAGGGGACACATTTCAAGTGTTGCAGCTGAAGAAGAACGATGTGTTAAAGGTGATCTCAGTTTAAGAGCAGATCTGGAAAAGGACCAGTTATTTTAGTGTTTGTTCAATTTAAGTGAAACGTACCTGCAGTGCTTCCAACTGGTCGTGGTCGTGCCACTGATGGCATTTCTTCCGAGTACATCCCTCTGGAGGAATACTGAGTCTCAGGCGGTTGCTGGTCTGGGTGCATTAACTCTGCAGGTTGAAGAAAACTTGGCCCAAAGTTCTGTCTGTGGAAAAGTAAGAACTCAAGATTACAGTAAGTGAATTGCCCATTAAAACAATCATATACATGTGTGTGAGTATATATACACACACACGTGTGTGTGCGCATAGGTACACCTCATAACTCAGCTCTTTATGATTCCTCTGATGTACATTTTAACCTTAAATGTTACAAAACGATTACACCTGAAGAATACGTTCCTCCTTCATAACACGTGCTGCACAGGAATAGAAGTCAGAAATGCTAACAAAAATTTCACACAAGTGTTTTTCACATGTTGCAGCTTCTTCAGTGCAGAGAGAAATAAAAAAAAAATCTAACAGATATTGTTTTTGCATGGCAGGAAAAGTGTCTTCAGTGAAAGAAAGAAAAAAAAGAATTGCCTGGCCCATAGTTTTGGTTTAAATCAAACAGAAAAAACAACTTTACAGATGTTATTTCACAAACTATTACTATTTCATCAAGTGTTCGGTTCATTTTTCGGGATATTTTCAAAATTATGTTGTTCTTTAAGATGCTTCAAACTACACAAAATGGTGTCATAACACAAGCAAAGGAAGATGTTGCGTATACTAAAATTAACGTTTCCTATAATTCAGGCTGGCACTGGTAGTCTCTGCACACAGTAATCATCATGTTGTTATATACTTACTGAGAAAAGTTAAATACAGCAACTGTCATAAATTTATCTTCATTAATTGTGCCAAGGTAACAAGACTTGTTGAAGAAACCCTATGATTCATTCACAGGAGTAGAGAAGAAGGTGGAAATGCTGCTTTTCCTGCACTTCCTGTTAACATACCTTAACCCTGACATGGAGAGATCACATTTTAAGAGACTGATGGCAGCTGAGTTTTCATGGCTTACCGATTTCTAAGCTTCTCTGACAATATGGTGGATGGGTGAATACCTAAACTTCAGGTGCCTAGATTAGCAGGCTAGTGTTTCTTAGACTCCATGGAAAATTAAAGAAGAGAGAGAGACTCTGTGAGAGACATTCAAAGCAAAAGATTTAGTGCACTAAATCTTTTTCTGAAAGAGCTTCTATCTCGCAAGTGATTATAAGGGAAGCAAGGGAGACAAACCTCTTAAGTAAGGCACATGACGTGACACAAAGCGAGGACTGAAGCCTAGCTTTACGCCCCTCTACCATAACGGCATCTAAGCAGCTCTAGGATATGGCCTTTAAAACCTATGTTTTTATACCCTTTTGTTCTACAGGAAAACCACATGTCTGCATCTAATTCAACCTATTCTTGACCTGGGCTTTATTTGGAAAACTAGCAACTTAACGTATGAACAGATAGCTAAGAAGGTTGATGAAATAATACAAATCTGAGTAAAGACAAAGTAAGTAATTGTAAAACAAAGTAATAACTATTTGGCATACAATATTATATGCAAGAGATGTAAGGGGTTCAAGCTGTAACTATTCCATTGTTGAACTGTCAGATTTTCCCTAACTCTTTGCATACATTCCCAATTGTCTACTCAGCAGCTCCAGAGGAAACAATTTTCAACTAGATTCATGGGCTAGTTAAAATAAATGTTTGAAAGGGTAGGTAATGTTTAACAATGCCTTTTGTTATTTTAATCACTATAACTAGTAAAAGAAAGATGTGATCACCCAGCAGTTTATGCCTGCAGCACAGAGCTGAACCTTATGACTGATAAATTATGATTTTTACTGTTGCCTTTAAAGAAATGATATTATTGCTGAATGTATTATTTTTGTGTCAATTTTTCTGAGGGGAGAGGAGGTCTATACTTTATTGCTCATGGGTTTGTAGTTGAAAGGAGCGAGTTTAATAGCCAGCCCCCTCTCTCCCCAACCTTCTTTATATTAAGATAGATTTAGCTACTCTTCAAAGTTCAGAGATCAAATAAAGAGGATGGAAACTGGATACATTTCAGAATCTATATCATATAGGCTTTCTAATGCTGCTTTCCACTGCCAGACTGAGACCCAGCCTTCAGTTTATCTTCTCAGGTTGAAAAAAAATGGTTTCACCTCCAGAGACTGCCCCAAAAATCAGTTTTGCAGCACTGGGCCACTATGGCTCAAATGCTAGGTATCTCTGTTGCATTATACAATATTCACTCTCTGGTAAAAGCTGTTCATTGTGTCTTTATATTTGCACAGCTGTTATGTGACCTAGCTCTTTAACATTTAAATTTTTTACCCAGGTTTGTTCCAGCCCATTAAAGATGCTGACTGCATTTGTACAGAGAAGGGAACAGCCTGGTTACCCAACTATTATTCCATGCATTTGGAAGCAAATGAACTATGACATTGATACATGCCACCTAATCACACTGACCTCCGGTTGTTTTCCTTTCTACAGTTTGTGCACTGTTTCTATCAATTTATTTATTACTATCTTCTGAATTTGAGCATAACCTCTACTCCACAACCATGACAGCTCTTTTCTGGTTTTCTAGGCCAAGCTTTAGGAAACCTTCTATTTTAATGAAATTTTTAAGGAATTCTTCCTGTTGAGGTCGATGACCTTGCAGATTGTTAACTTAATCTGCTGGCAAGTGTTTGAACTATTAATAATGAAGCCATCAATTTATAACTTGCAGAAATCCGAAATGCCTATGCCAAGGGTTGATGAGCCTTTGCACAAAGAGTATGTTGCAAAGACCATATTTTGCTCAGGTGCTTTAACATCGGTTACAGCGCTTTCATAACTAATTTATCAGCTTTTCCCTGAATCTGCAATAGGCCAAGAAAGAAAAAGTCCCCAATAGTTATCCCTAAACGTCAGTACATTTGATTATGCACTGTATATAAAATGTTGGTAGTCTTGAAGCTCATAATTCACAAGGTATCTAACTTCCAAGAAAATAAACCATGACAAAGATGACTGCATGTCACACTTTGCACCATTTCTCATATGCTCCGTTCACACTGAAACTCTCCATTTCAGCCAAGATCTAAGCGAGGAAATGTATTTATAGATTCAAATGCCCTATCTTTTTCTGCTTGGCACCTTCAAAATAGGGCTGAAGTACAATGGACAAAGGAAAGCTCTCCACATCCATTTTGTAGCTAGAGAACCACCAAGTTTCCAAAGCAGTGAAGACATTAGATGAAATCTAATGAATAACACGGATACCAGTGGGATTCCTCCTCATGTGGTGAGCTTTAAGAAGGTAATGGGTGAGTAGTTTCAGGCCACCTTTTTACTACCTCAGCTGCAGTAGTCTGGAGCATGTGAGCAAGACAAGCATGACCCAAGCGGGTACCGTGACTGAGAAGAAGCTGACTTCATGTGCACACAGACACCAAACATGGAATGAACAATCACTTGGACAACTGTTTCTTCTCGTTATGTGATTCTCCTACAGTAAGGCCAAGGGAAGATGGAAAGGTTGTTCCCCACTGATTTTATAGTAACAGCCCTGCAAAGTAGGCTTTCTCTGTGAGGGTTAGTATGCTCTGCAATTTGTTCTTAACGTGGCTAAAAATGGAACGAGCCAGATAGACATTTGCAAGCTTTTGCAAGGCAGTGTTCCACTGAGGCTACAGAAATGAGATGAAAGCAAGAGTACTGGGAGAAGTGCACCTGAGTCACTGTTTCAGGCTCTCTGAAAGCTGAAACTCTGTAATAGTTTCCTCAGTATTTGGAAGGCTCTCTCTACAGCCAAGGGGCTAGAAACACATTTCTTTTAAAAGGAGGCTTGGATTCCACACAGTCTTAGTGTCATTCATGCTATATAAGTAAATTACACAGGCTGGACCTGGACTCTGTACAGTACTTTGCGTAATAACATACCAGTGCCAGTAAGAACTCTGGAGAAACTGCAAAGAAAATAATAAATGATAATTCCACCAGTGAAAAACTACCTTGGTAGGAGGCCGGGTGCTGTTGGTGGAGTCATTCCAAATTCCACATATCTCTGTTGAAAGAATGAAACAAATGAATTAAAATCAAAATCCATACACTGGGAAATTCACTGTCAGCCTTTCAAGTGATGAACGGCAGAGATCACTAGGCCTGCATGTGCAACTGAATTGCAACTTCACAGTTTAGTTTTACAAACTGAATTGCACAAAAAGGTCTGGGAAGCATCATTACAGTGGGACAGCAATCTCTACCATCTGATCATGGTCTTTCAAAAAATAAATAACCTTCCAAAAATTACTGTCTCTCACTTGAATATGAAGGGCTGCCCCAATGTCTATTTAGCTTAAAATTTTCAGGGAACTGAGCTTTTCCTTTCTCTTACATGCCGCAAGCTTACCAACAGCTATAGGATTAACTTCACAAATAGCACTTCCTATCTCAAATGATACAGAAGTGTATTCGCAAATCTGTTTACACCTCACCCAGCATCAGACTGCAGCAGAGAAAGCACAGGACTTGGATTCAAGAGTCCACAGGAGTTCTAAAGCTTCTACTGAACTGCTGTGGGAGTCAGGCTGACCTGACTATCCACGTGTCTCAGTGCTCCATAAAATGCAAAGAACATACATAGAAACATTGCTTCCCTATCTCACTGCTTCCAAAGCGTTTGGATGCCCTGGTGAAAAACATGACCTAAAAACAATACATTCTTTTTGCTTTTCAAAATAGATAGTTAACTAGCACATATGCTTAAAAAATTAATTTCCCTCTTAGATATGGCAAGACTGATCTCTGAACGATCACAGCTGAGAAGAACAAAAAAGTTATCCTAAAGGAGAACTCTTATTTTCTCTCTTGGCAAGGAGGGGGAAAAGGGAAAAAGAATCCAAGTGACCTAAAAAGTAAGTTCACCATTCTGTGACAGATCATTTATGAACTCTACTGGCTCCTGATTTTGTTCAGCACTTGCGATGAATCCTGACAGAAAAGGTACAATAACAGCGACCATGGCTCAACTGGTGCTAACTTCCTGCCCAGAAAAGCCTTTCAAAACGCACCACTCACGTTAAATGGGTTGTTTACTGCCTGAGGTGGACCATAAGGTGATCCCCACTGGGTGCATGTGGTTCCCCTCCCTGCTCGAGCAGGAGCGTTGTTTACCGGCTGTCCTGCAGAGACCCCGGGTGGTGTGACGGCAGTGGAACTGGCTGCTTGGCTACTGGGAGCCACCAAGGCAAAAGCATCATCCAGCAGAGAGTGCATGGTCTGCCGAGCCTCTTCAATGGATGGCTGCGGTGGGATGTACTGGGAGACTGGGTGGGAAGGCAAGGCAGGAAACTTCCCAAGGTCAGCTGAAGATGATGTCTGAGGTTCAGGAGGCAAGTCTGGATCAGACTGGAAAAGCAGAAAGAAGGTGAAGAGCAGCCAGACAGGAGCTCTAACTAGGCAACCTCCAAGGCACAGTGGGCCTTAATTCGGAGTAACATCCTCTTCACCAAATCGGAATAGGATAAACGGCACAAGTGCCAGCACTGGACAAAACTTGCTCCTTACTCTCCCCACTTATGCATGCACATACACGACACCAACTGTTCCAATCCTTCCCTCAGTGCAACCTGAAAGCACTGTAATACTAGATAAGGCAGCAGTGCCATCAGGGGCTACACAGCTATAACAGGAATCGTGTGGTTTGCAAATGTACACGAGGTCATGCAGTAAGCATTTACTCCACCCAGAAAACTACGATCTGCTCTGCATACATCTCTGAATCCTCTGCAGTTTTTGCAGTTCCAAGAAAGGAATTCAGTCTTCAGGTTACAACTGACCACATCAGCAGTAGTATTAAGCAATCACCGCTTTCCAGAAAAACACACAAAGGGAGCTGTTAAACAGCTAAGTAGTTAGCTGCGTGGAACTTGAACCGGGGTGCATCACCTGAACGGGATTCACTGAGTACTTCATAGCAGCATTACCTGAGGCTTGCATCACAATTACTACCTGGGATCTTACCACACGGGCTTACTGCTCATCAGTAACTGGAAATTAAACCAGCTTGGTAGTAACTGACCAATTATCAAAGCTCACTCTTGCCACTGCACGCAGACTGCAAAATCAGTTATCAAGATGCAAAAGCCTCTGCTTCATCAGGAAGTTAGCATTCTGAGTACTGTCTCTCTACAAATGCTAAAGGGGCTGAGCTTGCTGTGTGACAAGGCTTAATTAAATAGCTTCAGATGATAATTCATTTTGCTACAGCATGACATTAAAATCATCACACTCTTGTCTGAATGCAGAGGGGAAACCACAGAAATCCACATTATAGCCACTTGACTGCATATACAGCTGATAGTGAAGTTCTTAAAATTATTAATCTATTTTTCAAGATGAAAGCTGTCCAGGGGGTTCCAGTGCTAGCATTAGGCTTAGTAAAGACTGATTAAAAGTAGTTAAAAGATGCCCAAATACAGTTTATGACATGGATATCATTGAACAGAAGCATTCTCAACTTTTTTGCCTTTTTTAATACAGCAAAACTAATTTTCAAGATATTGTACTACAATAGTTCCAAGTTACTGCAGTACAAAGATAACCGCTACTCCTGCATTAATAATTAATTCCTACATTTTAAAGATGAGAAAATTTTTCATGAAGGAAACTGAGTCTTCCACTATGTAAGAGAAAAGGATAAAATTCTATAACATATGAATATATAACATGCAGCAAAGTGGACTACAGTGAAACTATGTTCAACATTGTGGAACACGCAAAGCACACCTTCACGTGCATAAGTAGTGTTAGTAGTGTTAATGAAAACAAGGTTTGAGTTCTTCTTTCAAATGATGGAATTCAGACAACAAACAGATTGCCAATGAAATCCTTGCTTCACTCTGATTTTCATGCTAATTACATGTGACTGAAACTAGCCATACAGACCATAGCCAGAAGGCCAAAATCTCCCCACGTCACAAGTCATTACAACTATCAGAATACTCTTGTCACTCAAGAGACATACATACAATATATGCAGAGTTATTGACTCCTGGAGGTCTTTTGTATGTTCCGTCACTATCCGTTGTGATTAACCTGTCCTTTTCCGCATCAATAGGACTACCATTTATCTGATGTCGCCGGCGCTGCTTGGGAGAACGCTTTGCACGAGAACTTTACAGGAAGAAAACAAAAAGGCAGAGACAGAGAAAAAAAATAAACGAGAGACAGGTCATCACATTTCTTTTTTAAAATTTTCCTTCTCAGTCTCACTCAAGGTTGAATTCTGCTGCCCATTCCTTCCAAGTGGTCTTTGTCTCAGTCCTGTCTCTCTTCCCTTCCTCAGTTTTTCAATTCAGTCCCATTTGCTAGCCCCAAATCTTTCTCCTCAAACTCCTCCTAATATCACTCTCTTTGCCATAGTCTCAGTTCTCCGAAGTCCCCCTTCTCATTGAAGCTCTTTCCAGTGTCACCTCCTTTCCACAACCATCTTCCAAGCCATCTGTGCTCCAGCCTCCCTCTGGGCCTCTCCACGCCTTCCAGACCCATGGGAAGTCTGATACATTCTAATCATCAGAAGAGACAAAGCCACCGACAAGGCTTTGTACTTGGCACCTTGGGCTTAACCTGACTGGGACAAGTCAGATGAAGAGCACGTTATTTGTGAATTTGCTCTTAAAACTCAGAATCTTCACATATTCTTTAAGTTCTTCAAGGATTTCCCTCTTTTGCATCTTTTTTCTCTTTATAAAAACTGTTTCGCACAGTTTATATTTTTCCTGTTTCTTTTTCAGTGCTTACAATATATTACAATTTTGATCCCCCTACAAAACACAAAAATAAAACAAACAAATGGCACAGCAAATACTAAATTATTCAAAAATAATATGCATATATTTTGGTTTATATACTGAGAACTCATCCATGAGTACTTGTAAAAGAATAATCTGAAAACAAAGCATACTGGTACATACAGAATTAAACCAAAATATTTAGAATAACCCCAAGCTTTTCACCCAGCCAACTCAAGTTCAACCAAGGATCAAGATAATTTTAAGCTTTGAAGGTTCAAAAGTACAGATCTCACGTACTTTGGACTTTGACTCTAGAAGAAATTTGTTCTCTCCCATCTTTGAAATCCCTACCTCTTCCTGGGCTCTATGAAGACAGTAGGCACGTTGCCTCCAGGGTCCAAGATCTTGTCAATTTGCATCTGTGCCTTACGATATATTCTATGCTGTTCTTTGGAGTCAACCACCACCACATCATCCACCACTGGAAATTCATAGTGCCCTTTGCGCTTGGCACGAAGACGAATCTTATTACGGTGATGCTCAATCTCAGATTTATGCCTCAGGGCTGTCTGTATCTTAAAGAAGGAGGAAAAAGTCGCTTTTTTCATTTTTTATTTGTATTTTTTTTTCAAAAACAACTTCTTGCTGCTGTTCCATAAACCTCTCCTCCTCACCTCACTGCCTGGCCCCACTTCCTCCCCTCTCCCCCCCCCCAAAAAAAATCTCTGAAGGTTTAAAGCACGCCACATGAAATTTGTGAAAACTTTTTTTTTTTTTGCATGGATATTTTTTCCTCCTGCTTGCAGTTTCTGCATTGTCACCCTGGGTAGATGTACTATTACACACAACACAATCACCAGCACAGCAGGTGCAATTAAAGAGAAGTGACAGTGTATTAATTAAAGGCATCAAGAGCACAAAAATGTCCTGCCGTTTGCCAGAAATGACAGTGCTCTGAGGAAATAAGACTAACTAACACAGGCTATATCTACTTTTGCTTGTCAAACAGATATTTGACCAACAGGGTTGAGGTCTGTCACTCATTCCCTGTAATGCCGTTCATCAAGTAAGGAACGAGAACTTAAAGAAGCTCACTGAGCCCATAACAAATCAGTGTCTTTGCTGAGTATGAGAGGCTGCCAGAAGCTATGCAGAAATGCAGCAGCAGCATTAGAGCCCAGGTCCCCAGATGGACATGGTGTCCTAAGGTCTATGACTTCTTTCAGGCTGAGCATTCATGCCTTCCTTCTGTCCTTTTTCACATTCCTTGGTGTGTATCTCAGCATCTGGGCGAAGCTGTCTTAGCACCATGCTTTTAAGTCCCAGCTCAACACTCACTGAAATGATTTTTATCACTGAAAAAGGCTTGGGCACTGGTCTGGGCCACAAGTACTCTGTCTGTGCTGGAATAGTCCTGGAACTTATCAGCAGCAGGGAACTAAATAGATGGAAATGGACACTTTGTGTATTCTCATTAAAAATCCATAAAGGCATAAGAGGGACATAAGCCAGATTTACTCTTTACATTTATAGTTAGCATTACATCAGTCTTCTGCCCATATAATTATATTTCCATATCCTGGCTTCTCTTGTCTATGTATACTAGACACATCAATTTCTCTCTTTTGTCAGGCACTGAAATAAACAGTACCTTATCACAGTTAAGGTAAAGGTTTCAGTAATCTTCCCGTTAGAATTATGGGAAGATGCTATCTCACCCAGTACAAAATCAGGACACAGGTGCATGGTACTTTCAGGCAGTTTATGATGTGGTTTTACAGTGCATTACCTTCTCTTCTACTGCCCCCAGGCATGCTCTTATTCTGCCTAAAGTAACCTGAGCCCCAGAGAAAGCAGCAAGTTTCTGCATGTTTACTGCCAGATACATGTACATGAGAAGCTGGAAGCAATTAATGTGTTGCAAATTCACACCCTTGAGTGCCCTGGGATACCTTGTTTGTATAACCTGCATCCTGAGTTGCGGAAAAGCCAACAAAATGGTGCACAGTGAAAGCCAAGCAGGGCCCAACTCTCACACATTTATCAACAGATCTCTCATAAGCCACGTACTGGTGGCTAGCAAAAGCATGGTAACAAAAGGTATCTGACCATCAGCACAGCTTAGCGTCTCTTACTGTTTAAGTTTTGCTTTAGGTATCTCTTGCAATAGGTTAGATTATCTCTTTGGATGGAAACCACGCCTGTGACTTGTCAAAATTCTACCCCTCCAGAGTTAGGAAGGAACTAATGAGGAACTCCTGACTACAAGAAAGAAATCGGATTCTTTTTATTTCCCTCTTAGATGGAAACCTGTATCTGTGTAAGTGGCCTAGTCCTCCATGAACATTCAAAGCACTTTAAAAATACCTCTTTATTAATTTTGTTGGTTTCTGCTACTCGATCAGAAAGTATGGAGTTCTGAACTGGAGGTGCTGCCATTGGCTGCATAGCAATCAGCTGGATCTTGCTTGGGACCCGTCTGCTGGCATCTGAGGAACGTGACATCCTATCCACGTGTTCGAAGATAGAGGCTGAGGAGTGTTGCTCATTTCCACTGCTGGTCTGAGGAGGTCCTGAATTACCAGAACAAATATAGAGTAAAGTAGTGCTAGTAGGGTTATCTCAGTCAAATGTCAAACTCTACAGATGCTGTGCTAAGAGACTGTCATGTTTTCCATCTGTGCTTAATTTGCCCTTTAGGCCTTTCAGCTGATTCACATTTAGTGCATAAGAAGTTTACCCAGTCATGTGCAAACTATAAACATTTTTCCAATACATTTCCAGAAGGTGAACTGCCATTCTTTATTTCTGTAAATCAAGATCTTGGCATTTGCAAAACCTCAAAATCTCAATCCACTCTAGCCCATAAAAAGCTGCTCTAGCACATACTGCTAATGGTTCCTCTTATCAGTACTTAAGGAGATGAAAATTCTTCAAATGGAGTTCAAAAAAGCAATAAAAGATGTCACACTACAAAACACGGTTCTCAAAAGGTAAGTCATAGAAGGAGCGATACATTAACTAAACAAAAAAGACTTAAAAACTCACAAGACACACAAAGAATTTTATAGACTTATTACTGATTTAAGCTTTAAAAGCACCGTTTTCTTCTTAGTGGCATGACAAACAGTTAATATACTAATGTGCAAGCTGCACAAACATTGCCATGCTGTAATTTGTTGAAGAGGTTATATCAACCCAAATACAATCAGGAAGTGAAGTTATGGAAACCAATACACCTGGAAAGCTACAGACCTAGCCTAGCCAACAGGGAAACACTTGACCAGGAATAGATCATCTCCCTCGAAGACTTGAAATCTGTAGGATTACCCTAGGGGTTTGTGGTTAAGCACATGTTTAAGTTTCTTTTTACTGGAGCTAGGCCTACAGTACGAACCCTTATGTCAGTTAAGGAGGCAACAACTACTAAAGAGTTGCAAAAAAATCGTTTGTCTTGTCTGCATGGTAACACCACAAATTCTCAAACTGCATTTCACCATGAAATACAAGCAATGAAAGGTTTAGATTTGTGATCTTTCTCATGGAGAAACACAATGGAGTAGAGGGACAGATTCCTGATCCTTGTATGGACTTCCAATGACTGTGATCCTCAGATTCAGAATCAGAAGGAGAAAGAGTGGAATTTATCACCCTGATCCAACTCCGACAGACAGGGAGAAAACAGCCATTGCTTGGATCCATTTGCAGCACTTGGTGGTAATGAAGCGTAAAGTTCAGAAAAGAACTGAATGCTACCTTCTGTAGAAGACTACAGGAGATTAATTCTTCCTTTACTTAGCCTCCTCTAGTATAGAAGGGGAGCAGCAAAGGGAAGGAATGGCACACGTTATAATATTCACACCATATTACTTTGGGCTGGAATGCAGTCTGGCCCCTAACAAAGAAGAACTCTTATTTTCCATATTTCTCTCAAACTTGATCAATGCATTGTAAAATTGACATATTTATAAATAGTATGCATAATTTGTAAGTGCGACTTTTGTATACAAGTGAAGGTAAACAGTTTTGCTCAAGATCTGTGTCAAACGTTTTGCAAGATAGATGCTTTTAACCAACTGAAATATATCTACCTCTCTTTCGTAGCTATTTATACGATCTTTACCGCCTGTCTCTTCATAATAATTAATGGCTTCCATTGTCACTCATTTCTCTGAAGCAAGAAAGCAGTGCCTCTCACAGAGACAGGCACAAGATATATTAAGCAGTTTGCCCAAATCCCTCAGAGCGGGCAGTGCAATGAAAATCTGAACTTAGAATTTGGTTAGAAAGGTCCAACATATTCAATCACAAAATCACGGACTACTTGAGATTGGAAGGCACCTCTGGAGATCTTCTGGTCCAGCTCCCCTGCTTAACCAGGGTCAGCTACAGCAGGTTGTCCAGAACCATGTCCAGTTGAGTTTTGAATATCTCCAAGGATGGATACTCCACAACTTCTCTGGGCAACCTGTTCCAGTGTTCAACCACTCTCAAAGTAAAGAAGTGGATTCTGGGGGGTTGGGCTTTTTCGTTTGCTTGTTTTTTGGTTTTATGTCCAGACAGAAATTCCTGTTTCAATTTGTGCCCTTTGCCTCTTGTTCTGTTACTGGGCACAACCAAGAGTCTTGTTCTGCCTTCTTTATACTCTCCCTTCAGATATTTATACACACTGATAAGATCCCCCAAGCCCACTCCTCTCCAGGCTAAACAGCCCCAGCTCTCTCAGCCTCTCATCACATGAGAGGCTTAATCCCTTAATCATCTTTGTGGCCTTTCACTGGACTCACTCCAGTGAGTCCATGTCCTTCTTGCACTAGGGATCCCAGAAGCATACGTGAGCATCCACTCTGAATCTTTAACACTTCATCCATAACCTTCCATTTCAAGGGACAGTTCTATAAACGGATGCCCAGCAGACTTCTCACCTAAAACTGTTCTTAATTCATTTTGTAAAACTGTCCAGAAGTCCACTGTCAAATTTTAGTAAGGTTCTAGAGTAACATGAAATGCTACTCTCTCTTGTGCAGAAAAGATGTACACATAAAAAAGGAAAAACTCTCTGAAGCCAAGCTCCTGTAGTAAACACTGCAAGGAAAAGCCCCATCCTCACACAGGATACCAGCAAAGTTGCTAGGGATGTGTGGGAGCTGTTCCCATGAACAGTACCAGGGCTAAAATATACCAAAAAATATACCAAATAAAGAAATACACCAGAAAAGGCCAAATGGACAAAGGAAAAACACGGTAAAAGTTGCAAAATTTACTTTCATGTCATTTGCTATACTAGCAATAAGGCTTACTTGCAAAGGAAAACACTCCAATAGTAGCATAGTTTGGATTCGATTATGTCACCTTAAGCACAGAAACAACTGACATATAGTAACTCCTGTTACCTCTACAAGTAGAAAGACTCCCAAGAATTCAGAATTAACATAGTATTATTTCAGTTCATCAAAACTATAATTAGCTAATCTATAGCTAAGAGAGTTACCTCAAGTACACCTGTAAACTCCAACATATAAAGCTACTTCTTAATGATTTCCAGGGCTTTTTTTTTTTTTTTTTAAATTTAAAATGCCTGTGTTGCATCTGGTCTTTAAATCCTCTCTATATGTATACTGAACACATCTATAAACACAAATCGAAATAGAAGTATAGCAAAGTAGGTAAGAATACTGGGAACAGCACAGTGCTGTACATGCACAATGAAAGAAGAGACCATTCCAAACTCAACACATGAACGAGTTCCTTTAAGAAGTTCTGATAGGGAAAAATAAGAATGATTTTTCATTTCAAAATACTTTCTTTACACTATTGTCCATGGTTAGAAAGTCCTCCTTATAAAGCTATCAGATGCTGCTATACTAATAAAATTTTGATCTCAGACGAGACAGCTGAAGCTGAAAAATAATGGAGAAGAATTAAATTACTCAAATACTGGGCAGAACAAGTTTAAACAACTGGTCCATAATAGGTCACGTGTCAGGATCAATGTTTACTACTGCCTGCATTGAACTTGCTGACTTGAACTGAAGTGTTGGGAAAAGAAATTGCTCTGTAGGAAATTGTGATTTCAACTGAAAACCAGTGCAGTGGGAGATGGAGGAAGGCTACTCCTTCCCCCACCCCCTTTAGATAAAAACAAGGGACATAGCAACCTAGGTGCACAAAGTCTAACCCAAACCCAGGTAAAGTCAATGGGAATCTTCCACCGATCCACTGGACCTCGAATCCGGTGCAGACCGAGTTTCACATGACTTTCACACAGCTGATTTATATCCCAATAGGTTACACCCCTAGGATGCAGTCAATGACTCTCATCAGTTACTAGTACAAGGCTAACAACGGAAAGGCTCATCGCCAGCCTTTGCCCATCTGTCTTTACTTTTATGAGAGAGAAATAACTATGAAAGAATACAGCCCTTAATTTATCGCCAGATATAGTACACATTAGCAAAGAGAATGCCAGCTTTCTCCTGTCTCAGTCCTGATCAGTAAAACACTTGATCTAGTGAGAAAATATCTGCGCTTCTTTGAAGGTTGCCTGAGTTTCCCTTAAGCTTCCAAGAGAGAGGCCAATTCTAACTAGTGCTAACTGTGACCGTAACTTGTTTATACCAGTCAAGAACAGCTTGCCTCAGTTTTGCCTCTTTCACAGTGAGGATGTTTTCCTCAATAATTTGAAAGAATTTGGAGGAAATTAGAAAAATGTGTTTGTATTGAATGACTATAATTTGTGTTACTGAGAACCTTTTCTACGTCAATAACTCAAAAACAATTTTGCTTTTTCGACTCAGAAGACAAATCCTTTCATGCTTAAGATATAATTACAGCTACCCCAGCACCTCTATTCATACTTGTACTCAACTACCAGCTCTGGTTACTTACCCACTCTGTTTGCTCCTGACAACATAAAGGAAAAAGAAGAGACAACATAGTAATTATTACAAATAATTCAGCTGGAATGGCAACTGGAAAAAAATACAGCAGTAAAACGATTGTGTTTACTTTTGAATGAAATGCATAACTTGGATTAAACTGCCAAGCCTCAGCTGTACAAAAAGGGAGCTGAATCTGCCATTTAACAGGCACAGAGTTCTCTGCAGATAGCGAGGCCAACTCTGAATGTTAAAAATCGTCTGATTACCAAATCGGAGGGACCAGCTGCCGAAGAAAAGAAATTATCCGGCAAGGGTACTGTGGGTGAAAAGGACACATTTTACACAGTATTCCTGTGGACTTTGCCAGATAATTAAGATGCGGTAATGTGTAACACTTCTATGCCAAAAGGACATGCTAAACCTTACATAAGGGTCTTTAAGCCAGATGAAAAATGAAGAGATAAAAAATTGAGTTCCCTGGTAAGATGAAATGGGATAGCAATGAACCAGGGCAACACAATTGAAGTCAAATAGGTTGAAACAACTCAGAAACCAGCCGTCTTGCCTGAGATTAGCTCAGTCATAACATATTTTTATATAGCAATATACATAATGCATATTAATAATTAATATATTAATGTAATAATTAATATATTTATACATAATATACATTAATCTAATTATTTCCAGTCCTTAGAACAAATCTAAGGCACTGAAATATACACATAGCAACAGGACATTTTTCTTTTTCTAAATTGCGTAAAGCATGGGTAGCATAGACTACCTTCTGAATTATTAGGAGGTATAATTTTCTAGTCACATCTGCATAGCTTGTGCTTTGTTTTCTTACACACTCATTATAGAGAAAAGCCTCCTCCATCACCCTTGCTCTTGCAAGAGTAGTCCATACTATGAAAGCTGCAAACCACACTGTTTAACCTGCTGTTTAACTGGCCAGGGCGTAGTGGCTTATATAAACTGATTGTCTTACATATTCCTCTAAATGTCTTTTCTTCAAAATGAGCATACATTGAAGAATACCTGCTATGACCTGAAATTCAATGGCACTGCATTCTTCAGGAGCTACTTTTACATCTCAGCTGGTATTTCACTGAACGTGTAGAAAACCATTCAATGTGCAGAAGAGACTGCTCATAATACAGTCAATAGTTTCTTCTTAGTTTTTACTGCCATCAGGGCCACGTGTATTAAAAACAGACTGGGCTACTACAAGCTTCTTTACCAGATATTTTAGCATTAGAACGTTCCATAGGAAAGCTATTGTGAGTTAAGCTGAAGATCTGGTAAATAAAGCCTCAAGCAAGGAGCAAGCCATCCAAACCAGAAAGATCTCAAAAACAACATTTTGTGACACAGCTGTTAATATGCTTTTAAACTGGAATAGAATGTAAGAAAAAATGTTTTGATTAAAAAAAAATGAAAGTGATTTTGCAGTGTTTTATCAGCTCCTAAATGGGGAAAGGAATAGATCATATGGGACCTCCAACATAATCGGCTGCATTTTAAGTGATAGAAAGCTGGTTCTTCATCCACACAAAAATTCACCATTATTGATGTTTTAGCACTGCTTTCCTCTTTTTAAAGTATAACAGCAAGGCATCTTGATGTCTGAGCTACATCTCATTTTTAAACCTTTTTTTTCTCTGTTCTCATTTTTTATCTCACTTTTTCGAGGTTACAGTTACAGACATATGTCCATGTTGTATCATCCGCTGCTGTGACCTCCACTGCAGATATGGCTATCTGCAAGATTGCTCCAAGAGAGCCACGATAACGCCTAAATGGAAAGAGGTTTGCCAGGGGGTGCAGGAGAGAAGAGGAGGGAAAGCTCACTCCTATTAAGCCATTTGGGTCACACGCTTGCTGGAATGAAAGGAATGTATAGATCTTTGGTTACAACAGAAGAAACTAAACTAAAAGGGAGTGGAATAAAAGTCTCTGTGACACAATACAGAAAATTTAATTGCCAGATAAGCTCTTATAAAAAGTTACAGCATTAGAATAACTCTTCAACCTAACCTAGTAAAACACTGATAGTGCACACAAGAAAAAAAATGCAACAAACCTTTCTTCACTGCCCTGCGTGGTTTGCCCTCGTTTGCCACTGTTGATGGTCTTGCAGTTTCCTCTCCTGTCTCTCTCCCACTGGACTGTTCGCTTGCTGTGGAGTCAGCGTCTGATGGCGAAACTCTGCCACAAACATTAAGAAAAAAACAAAACCAAATGATCAACACGTAATGTAAGTTTATAAAGGGGCGTTATTCTCACATGCAAAGAATCCTGTGTTAATGTATCTTGTGATGACTGCTAATATTTTTCTAAGTAAATTTATTATAAATAATCATAGTTAGATATTCATTACCATGATTATACTGTTATCATGTGTGTGAAAACTGACTGAAACAGGCTTCAATGTGACAAGATTATTAATTAATCTTTCCTTTAAAGATATACTTCAAGGAAACACTCTGCATTTGTAAAGAGCAGGTTACCTTTCCGGACAGAAAGGAATTATATCCGAAATAACAAAACTAATTAGAATAATATTCAGATTTCCTAACCTGGTATTCTTTTGTTAACACTACAAGTCCACGGGCATATTTTCCTAAGTAGTTAAATATAGGGCCATTTAGAAACTCCACTTCAACATACTTATCTTATGCAGTCATAAAACCCTTAAAAATACTCACTACCTACAAATCATGAACCCAGTCTCTTTCTACAGAAAGACATTCACAATATTGTTATTCTAACACCGATCTTGCCCTCAAACCCTTCTGAATGCTCAGGAGACAGAAATATCATTTATATGACTTATGATTTTTCATCAAAATCATTGCAGGTGATTACGGAAAAATCTAAAGAAATACAGTGATTTTCTCCATCAGAACGATTTGGTTGTAAAACTAACCACATAGCAAAGTAACAAAACTATAAGACATACACCACTACCCAGCTGACGCCAAAGCCTGTCTTTTCACATGGGATTGTCCTTTGTGTCTCTTTAGCAATCATTTTGTCCTGTGAACATTCATAGTCTATTCATGTAGGGAGTCAATCACTTTAAGTGCACAGTAGTCAGGGCACTAGCCTTGTCAAGTGCAAGACAGGCCAGTGCTAGATGGATATGTGAACAAGATACCGAAGCTCTCGGCTAAATATCAGCCTGCCTGGAGTGCACAGACCACGATAACTACTCTCAGCCAGACAAGTTCTTTGAAAGTTAAACCTAATGCTTGCAGCAGGCAGAACTCCTAACTCAGCTTCCCTCTTTCCTCCTTTCTGGACAACGCCCTGAAAATCAAACACACTATTCCCTTCCCTCTCCCTCCCCTCCCCACCCTTGCAGGACTGTAATACTAATTAGTCTTATCTCAGTAAAAAAAATATTAGAAGGAAAAAAAAAAGGAGAGGGGGAAGAGAAAGAGAAATGGTTCTCAGTGAGCTTACAGATCTGCACCATTGCACCTTTTCTTCTTTTCTGCAGTGGAAAGGGAGGGCAGAGCTATCTTCTCCGTCATCTTTTTCACTATACCTTGGTTCAGCGAACATAAGAGTGGAGATCTGCTACTGACTGTTTCACCTCTCTGTGCTTTGCTTTCCTTCATACGCGTCCCTTAGTTTATCTAAATTATCAGTAAATATATTAAGGAACATACAACAGCGTCAAGTCAACATCACTCATCCTTTATGGTAAGTGCTGTAGAGTATTCAGTTGTGCCCTTTCCAAACAAAACAACAGGTCCAACTCTCAGCTGGAGCCTAAGGATGCTACGCTTTCTGAACTTAGCTGGTTTTTCTTTCTATTTTGTTTTCTTTCCTCCAAACCAATACAGAATGCACTCAAATCACCACTATATTTACTGGCTTGCAACACTGTTCTGAATTGTACCATGATAACTCGAGTTCCGTACTTCCTCAGAAAACAGCTGAAAACAACATAACACACTGCACTATCATTTCGCATTTCAACTTCTCCCTCAGGGAATAAATGTTTTAAATCTGAGGCTGACATGGGCATGTCAGCCTGTTATGGAGATGACGGTAACATCTCTGCAGTTAAGCCTAAAGGGAGATTTGCACTTAAGAGTGGATGAGGGAGAGGAGGGAAATTCTCTTTGTGCAGCACTTTGAAGTGTTTGAATTTAGATTCTATTAAAAAAAAAAAAGTTGTTCCAAATTTGATCAATTTATTACAGTCTTCAGGTAAAACATTAAAATGTTGGCTTCTGAAATTTTTCATTTTCTGGATTGTTCTAGATGAAATACAGTAACATTTTCAAACTAAAATTTTTTCTTAAACTTACACGTATATGAACACACAAACACACCTCCTCCTCTACCCTCAGTATTATCTGTGTTAGGTCACTTTTGAACTTTTAAAGAGAAATACAGGAACACTTGTCCTTCTAATTTATATTAATTTAAGCTACATTAGAATGAGTTAGCTACACTTTCTTCCATCATTTTCCAATACTGTCAGCCTCCCACTGAGTCACTGGTAATCTATTGCTCGCAAAGCCCATGGGGAGTTAGGAAGCCAGGCTCAGCAGCTGGGAAGATGGAACCCGAGCTGTATGAAGCCCATGTGGGGAAGATGAAGCAAGGGTCTTAGAGCAACTGGGGTCTTTAGAGAAAGCGCACAAGGTTGACCAGAGGAGCAAGCTGTGTCACAGAGACCTGCAGCATGGGAAGAATCACCACTAGTTTCTTTCTAATACTATTCAACAGTGCCCTTGTTTTTTTCCTCCTGCGGTGCAATAGCACACAGGTAAAAGCACAGGAGCATGCAAAGTTGGAGACAAGGGAGTGCAAAAATATGAAAGGGAGGGTGAGGAAGAATGACTGGAAAGTAGAGCAGAGCGGAGTTCTGTCCTGCTGAGCTGTTTGTGATTCATCCTAGTACAGCTCTCCTCAGGGCTCTGTGTGTCTCCCACCTACTTCCCTCCTACTTCTGCTGTATTTTTTTTAATGCACAGATCCTTCCTTACTGCACAGCTCTGCTCCACCTCCTCCCCTACAGATACAGTTCTTTCTGGCAAGACAGAATCATTTCATTTGATTCTTGGGTAAGGTTAGGAAACCACCAGTGAAGGGTGACAGACTTTTCTCCTTTTGCACAGCTGTAAATTATCACTCCTTTTCCTGACCAAAACTGGTTTGCTGTGAGAGCAACTAGATAACCATAACAGAAAGCCCTCGTGCACCCTCACTGGATTTTGTAGCTACTGCTTACTTCTGGAAATTCTGACTTATCATACATGTATTGATCACTATTAATATCATTAAAACACACATCATTATTATTCATCAGTGCTTTTCATTTAACTACCTGTTGCCTGAGTAGCTAATGGTCACTACAAAAAGAATGCATGGGAAAGCACATGCTTTAGGGTTTCCACCAAACAAGCAATGTATTGATTCCAACCAATTTAGTTCTGTCCCCAAAAAAGCTTTTAACTGGGCATGCTGCCATTAAGAAAAAAATGGATACCAAATTCTCACAACCTTATACTAAAGAGTAGGTAGGCATAACCAGTGGACCACTAGAAGTCCTGGAGCTGAGGTCTGGCCACTGAAATTACCCTGCAAAATACAGTAAGTATCAGACATTAATAAATTGTAAGCTACCACAATGCTGTTTTTCCTCTGCACACTGACCTCCCTCTGTGTCGAACGGTCTTTGAAGGCTTTGAGGAAGTCTTGGACTTGGGGCTGGGCACATCTCCATTTTCAGATGGGGTAGTATCCTTAATAGGTCCTGCTAAAGGAGCTGGCTCATGGATAATCAGGATTTCATCTTTATTGTGCTGGCCCAAATGCTGCTTAGCAAAATCAAAGCCTTTCACACTGGGGGCCTGTAGCTGTGAGAGAAGAATAAAGATAACAACAACAAAACAAACAGGAACCATGAGTGACAATGATCACGAAAGCATTTGTTAAGATCTGCAAACAATGGCCATTAGGATGTTGGTTGGGGCATGGTGATCTCATCAATGAACATAAGATGGCCGGAGGGAAAAGAAAACATGAGTCTGTCCTCGTCTTTCAGCAGATGATACACAGTTTACAACCCCAAAGCAGCAAACCTAGTGAAAAAATGGCCTTCTGTTGCTTCCACATCCCCCTTTCCTAGCAGTTTCTTCAGATTTAATGTTGTGGGAGAAGCTTTTTGTGTACCTGTGGGTACACATCTGTGTGCAGACTGAAGCAGTTACCATTGCCAGAACATCTATATGTTTTGGTCAATATGAGTTAAGTTATTTTAAATAATTTGCATAGGTCATTGCTATCTTCTTCATTTCGAGCCTCCCAAATCTGCAGGGGTCTGGGAGCGCTCACACAAACAGCTAGTTCATCCGAGGAAAAAGAAACATTCTGCAGATCTGAGTTAGAGGGCAGTCTGGCAATGACTTTTCAGCCAGCAAAGATACCTCGAGAAAAGTACTCAAGATCCAGCTCTTGGGACCTTAAGACTGGAAGAGGTTTTCCAGTTTAGAGAAACTAGAGACTTATCCTAGCGGTCTTATTTAGGGACTATGGATTCAATTGCAGTCTTACTCAAAAAGGTCTTAGTTATGAGAGCAAAGGGCCCAATTCTGTATTTGTAAAATAGCTAATCTCACTTTCTAAATAACTTGATTCAGACTTAATTGAATTAAGTCTACAAGCGTCAAGTTCCCCTGAACGTTTTTTGGGCTTCTACAAAACTAAGAGAAAGCTTTTCTTTAAGTCAAATTCAATTTTCAAGTAGTTTGGAAGTTGAAAGTGGAAAGAAATCTTGACAACTCCAGTTTTCAAAGCGCACACACAAATACTCACTGCATAGAATACACAAAAAAACCTCTGTGTGTTCCTAGAGCTAATTTCCTGCAAAGTGAAGCATGTGTTAGTGTGTGTTTATGGGTGCGTCAGGTTCCAGATGTTTATATGAACCCCCTTTCATAAAGCTTGGCATGCCGACATAGCTAACTACAAACAGACTTGTCTGATATCATGCCAAAGATAAGCTTGCCTAAGGAATATTCTGAAACAATCTCTTCAAAATATTTTCTCAGTAAGCAAACATTTTCCAAATGGTTCTTAGAAAGGACTTGCAGCAGAGTGAACTGCCTAGTTAGACCAGTAGATGGCAATAAAAGCTCTCCTGCAAAAACAAAGAACTATCTGAATGGTTGAGGTCTTGGAGTTCATTTTTCACAGGATGAGTAAGCTTATTATTTGAACAGATGATCTGGATGTCTTCCACTACATTCCATCTTCCTTGGGCTTTACAACAGTCCCTTCAATTCAGCATTTTGTGTGATTCAGTTATTGAATTTATGTAAATCACTGCAACCACTGACTCAAGAAGGCACTGCGGATTTAGACCAGGGGAAGGTACAACTGTTTCTTTATTTCCTGAGTCACGGTCACATAGTGAATTCCTCTGGAAACTTACCTCCCCTTAGGGTTTAAATATTGTGTTCATGTTCTTGTTCACCTAAAGAAATCCATAATATTTGTCACGCACACACCTTCCCTATTCTCCTCTACACACTCTCATCATTTTTTTCAATGGCCTCATTTCATCTAAGTTCTTAAACACATCCCTTTAATCATCTCTCTTTTGTGTGTCTTCTCCCCATGCTTACCCAGCCTTTCCTGATTAATATCCCTTACTTCTGGTCTGTACCTATCAAAATACCTCCGTCTTTCTGATACTTGCTGTCCCTAATGTTGCTGGGCGTGTCATTTACAGCTCTTGCCTTTGTCTCTCTCCGTCTTACCTTTCCTTTCAGTAAAGAAGTTTTGACCTGAGGTGTCCAACAGCCTCTTTCCCGTCTAACATTCAGAACATCAAACCCATCCTCGTCCTTCCCAATTTCAACAGTGACAAAGCAGCAGAAAACCTAACCTTCGTTTTTAATCTTCAACTTAGTTCGTGCAAGTCTTCTCTTTCCTAATTTTCTTTCCCCTTCTTGGTTTATCCACTGTGTTCCCTAATTCATATAGGGCCATTCTCCTTTCTCCCCAGTCTCTTGCAATCTTCTCTCTTTACATCTTGTCTCTATGTCATTCATCGGGCTTTGACGAACTACCGGTAAGAATTTAGAAGAGCCTTCTTTCAACTTATAGGTTGTTTTTGTTTTTTAGGTTTTTTTGTTTTGTTTTTCAAGAATCCTGCATTCTTGCTTGCTCAACTCCAGCTTCTCCTTGTTATCTGCCAATTTAAGCTTTGTAAACCCAGAACTAACCCCCAACCTTTCATCAGAATCCCCATCATTTTCCCATTCTTTGTCCCTAACAGTGCATCTGAACATCCTAGTCATCATGAATTCCATTTTTCCTTTGGGATACCCCTATCTCTATTCCTTTTCTCCAAAATAAATCTAAGTAGAAGTTTTCATTTTTGCTGTCAAAATTATCATGCTGGCTTGCAGCATCTTCCATTCTGTTTACTGGACCCTCCTCTTAAGTAGTTCCAACTCCACCTCTGACCTATCTAAAACATTATTTCAATTTCCCTTTGAAGATAATTCTGTATATGACATCCTCCCTTTGAACCACTTCAGTAGACTTCACCATGCGCTGGGCAAAGTTCTTTTACAGAATATCTGGTGCTTCTTCCACTCTTCTTTGGCACCCTTGAAATGGCCTGCAAAGTTACTGCTTCTTTTATAATAGTGTCATGAGGCCGGGAGCGGGAGGGAGTGACGACACAACTACATATAACAACTCTAAAAAAGACAAACGTTCTAGTAATGTTAGAAATACTAGTATGACTTTATCACAATGGTTGACACACCCAGTGGCAAAATTAAGATTGCTGAGTATCTCAGGCACACATTTCAACGCACCTTAGAGCTAACTCTAACATGCTGGGTTTGTAAACCCTTTAGGGGAGTAAAACAACATTTTTTTTTTTAATCTTTAACCTTGACTGTATAGTCCTATTCTTAGATGCAGTCTAGTGTAACCTTTTGTCTAAGCATACTTAAGGAAATAGATACATTTGTGTGTACATGTACATACATCAGAGCATATGTAAGCACAAATGTTTATCTGCAGACAGACCACACAGAAGCGGTATTAAAAGGCTGTTAGTACTACAAAGACAAACACTCAGACTCTAAGAAATGGCACAGATAAGATTGTCTGAACAGTCACAAGTGGATCCTCCCATGCGTAAGCACTGCAATAGAGACTTTAGTTACATTATCATAAATCTATTTCTTTCCTCTTGCTCTCTCCTACCTTGCTAGATCCTTGGCATAGGCTGGGCCTTCTGCTATTAGTCAAAGTTGGGTAGAATACAAGAATGTTATTTGTAGAACCGGGACACCTATATAATTTTCTGCAAAAGTTGGCAAATGTGTAGGGAATGACGCAGGGAACGTAGGAAGAGAAAGTATGCTTTCCTCTACGCAAATGTGCAACTAGGGTGGCCAGGATTTTTGCCAATGGATTTCATGGATATTTGCTGGCAACAGAGGAATGGCAAACCTCGGACATCACTGACTCCATCCCAGAGCTCAAGAGCAGCTCACCCCAGACATCACAGAACCTGCGGCTCTATTTTTCTGGAGTCCCAGGCAGGTTAATTCTTCATCTGATCTTAGTCTTCCTTGCCAGGTACACCTAGTCTCTCCATCCCATCTTCTTGCCCCTCTCTTTCTCTCTGCCAGTTGCCAGTCCCACTTTACATTACTCAGTAGCTGGGGGCCAACTCTGGCAGATGAGTGAGAACAGAGGATCCTTGCTCTCTGCTTCTTTATCTGGCCTCCTAATAACCTCCATGTACAGCAACAAAGAAAAAGTCCTCTTCGCTTTTAAGGAATAGCTCTACAGAGTTTATACACTCAGCACACGTGGAACTCTATGAGAATTTAGCTGGCAACCTTTAACAAGTCTCCGCTGAGCACATGCAAGCTTTCTCCTCAAAGGTTTATAACTTGGTTAGAAATGGGTAAGTCCCCACAGAATTGGCAAAAGCATTTCCCTTACACAAAGCAACCTTCTGGTCCCAACTCCTTTCCTTCCCTCTCCTGTGCCCCCAAAGGCGGAGAAGTTGTGCTAAAGCTTCTCCATATTTGTAAGGCTATTTTTAAAATTTGGAAAATGAACTCTATTTTCTCTTAACCTAGTTCTTTGAAAGAACAAGCTGTTCTTATCTTCTTAAAAAAAGATTCAATATGAAAGTCCTATCAGGATGGAAAACTTCTGCCTGGATGATTCAAATCTGGTAAAGTCACACACAGCTGAATAGTTAAGATTTCATGATACTCAAGCTACTAAAAAAGCTTAAGTAGAGTTGACATTACCAGCTCCAACCAATATATGGGTGGTAGGAGAGACTACAGGCATGTGCATATGTGTGTACGTATGAAAGAAATCATGAATAACAAATACAATATCAAAAATACCTATAAATACCTGTAAAAACATGACACCTGACTGAATATAAAAGATGGGCATTAAAAATAATGCCCTCTATATGAGAAAAAACTAGAAATATTAATACAATTATGGATGCAGAAACAAGATCATTAGGGCTTTGCTCCATTAAAAAAAAAAAAAAGAACGCTTTTCCGATTTCTCACTGCATTAGACCACAGCAACATTACGGCTTTCACTGAGAACCGATACTCACCAAAAACTACATTTTCAGTGACAAATGTGAAGGACACTGAAACATAACTCTGCATTCTTCAAAACCAGATGGTGAGATCATTGAGATTCAGTGGAATAAATGAACAGTATTGTTCAAGACTGAAAAGGTTCCTTATATTTTCTCACCAATTTCTGTGTGCCACATGCTGAGTTTTTCTTCCTTTTCTTTATAAGGAAGTTATGTATTGTAACAGGTTGGACGACCGCTGCT